TTATTTTATTGTTATTATTATTATTATTATTGTTATTACTACAGTATCATTATTATTATTGTTGTTATCGTTATCACCAATCAAGAAGTATTCAGGGCATTGGGGACATAATAAAGTCAAACTGTACACTCTTGTTGTTGTCTTGCATTGAATCTTCAATTTGAGAATAAGTTTGAGTACAAGGCAGTCAGTCAGCTGTTGATGGGAGCAGCTTTACATCTTCGTTGCTCTCGTGTCTTCGCAGATTCACCGAGCCGGTTACAGGAACATTGATGGTATAGATGTATCTCAGGGAATGCTTGATGTTGCGAGGGAAAAGGGCGTTTATGGGGATCTCATTTGTCAAAGACTAGGAGATCTACCGCTGCCCTTTGATGACAGTAAGCGATTTGTGAGATTCAATACAACCTCAAAGAGTGCATGGTTGGCTTGTACTCTGGTGTGTTTGTTCTTTCTTTCCTATCAGACGTCTATTGTCTTTATGTCTATCTGTCTTCTTCTTCTTTTTTGTTTTGTTTATTACTTTCCGGTAACACAAAGGGGAAAACCGCGTGGAACCTGGAGAAGAATCACAGAAATCGATGTACAGAAAAATGGGAAGACATGGAATAACATCAAGAGGCTAGCCCAGGATAGAGAAAGGTGGAAGGTGTTTGTCCGTGGCCTATACCCTGGTGCCGGGCGAGGAAGGCAATGATAAACACCTATAATATGGTCTAATTGTGTTGCAAGTGCGTAAAACTCTCCATAAAACAAATCTAAAAACAAAAACAAAAAACTGCAAGTGACCATAACTTGTTCTTGGCTCCGCTCTTTTGCTCTACCCCTTCCCCCGGTCATCGCCCCCTCCCCCTCTCTCTCTCCTCCTCCTCCTCCTGTTTCGCATGCGTCTTTACGTCAGTTTATTGATCTTTCTCTATTTCTCTGTTGCTGGCATTCAGCACTCAGCACACGGCCGATGGACATTTGCAAGAGAGATAGTTATACAGAGGGACAAAATACAGGAAAAGAACTAGGTGCAAAATGAGGACGGGTAAAATCTGTCGCTCTAAACACGGTCAGCCATGAAGGGCTCTGGAAAATCCCGTGACACCTCTTCCCTCGAGAGGAACAGGGATGCTCTCTCTCTCTCTCTCTCCCCCT